TGATTGGGGGAGGGGGAGGGAAAGGGGAGGCGGCGGTGGGGAAGAGACAGAAATCTTTAATAAATAAATAAATAAATAAATAAATAAATTAAAAAAATAAAATAAAATCCTTCTAGAAAAAAAAAAAGAAACTACCAGTGTCACATACATAGAGATGTCCTACATCCTTCAGGAAAAGAAATGGATAATAAGAGGAGATGTAAGGTACTTCAAACGTCTGGGCCATTGCATCGCACTCAACAAGCCCTCCTGCAGCCACTTTCACAGGTTCTTCTGTTTGGCAGACCTTATCAGAGACTTGGAGTCAGGGCCAAGGACCATCATGTAAACAAACAGACCAGTACACATAAGAAATCCGCTAGCAGAGCTTTCCTGAGTTGAGTTCTGAGGGAGTGACTAACTTAGTGCAGGGAAGCAGATTAAACACCCAGTGCTCTCACCTGCCATGTGTGCACTGCTAACTTGTTCGCTGGTGGCACTAGCGGAACCCCAAAGAAAGTATCTGGTTACCTCTATAGCGTGCCAAATTAATTTTCTTCCTAAATTCACCCTTTGCTGAATTACTAGCAAACTCTAATATAAGCACATTATTACTTAAATAAATTAAAAGTGAGATTCCACAGTTCTTAAATTCACACTGTGGTCTTACAATAACCTTGTACCTGGGGTGGCCGTTTTGAAAGCATGACTTTCACAAGGAAGTCCTTTTGAGATTTTATAAGTAAACAAGCTCTTGGCTAGGGTCTGAGAGCCACTGTCATTTTGAAACAAATTGCTGATTGTGACAAAAATATATTGATTCCTGTGTGTTTCAACTCGGGTTCCGAGGAGGATTTTTCCCCAGTTTTAGGCATCAGAATCCTACACGCACAGGCTCACGCTTAGCTATTTCCTGAGCATTGTGAGAGACAGTTTGGCGGTGTTTTACTGTGTATTTAACAGAATAAGACAAAATCGCACACTTCACTGCCACACGGGGTACCTACGTAAATACCTTTTATTTTTCTTATTTTTCCTATCACACATGTGTTATTTACCCAGATGGTGTCATTTTCACTTCCTGATTCCTGTTTGAGCACAATGGATTTTAACAAAACTTCCTTCTAGTCCCGGAGTTAGTAATGACCAACCAGAGCCTCCCGGTTAAGCAGTTAGAACCATCACCCTCTTTATATGACATCCTGCTTCCTGAATCCAAGCCCTTTTCAACTGGATTTTTTTTCTAATTTAGAGACAATATCTACTGAAAACATTCATATAGAGGGTAAAAGACCTCAGAAAATGTGCTTTTGGGGGCATGCTTATCATTAACATAGCACAAAAATACGTGATTATTACTTGATTTAGACAAAACTATGGTGAGGGTATTTTTTGTTTGTTTTTTTCTTTTTTTTCTGTCTCACAAAAACCAAGTGTTCTCCAGCAATGAGGCAGCGGAGAAAAATCAATACTTGCCATGTACCATGTAACCAATAGAATAAGGGGAATGATTTATGTATGGATGGATGCAGCCTGAATCAGCTGGGGCCTCGTACGGAGAGCAAGAAAAAGAGAGGAGAAGAAACGGAAAGAGAGAGGAAGGTTAGGCAAGCTCAGCTGCAGAGATTATTTTTAAATTGTGGCCAGATTTTTTTTCCTTTTTTTCTTTTTTCTCCTCCTGAAGCAATAATGCCCATCTCTGGCTCTGCAGGACATAGGAAAGCCTGCAATTTGTGGACTATATGATGGATCAGCTTTCCCCTCCTCTCCTCAGAGTCTTGATGCCATGTTCATATTAAAGTGCACTGAGAAAGAGAAAATGATGCATGGCCTGCAGCCCTCCAGCCTTCCAGTCATCTCCACCCCACGCAAGGCTAGTGATGGGTTGACAAGCACTAGTTGACAGAGAGTCAGGTCATCAACAGGATTTTACACACACACACACACACACACACACACACACAGCACCGGTTCCTGAGGAGACGAACGGCAAGGGCTTGCACAAGGAAACTACTCTATACCTCATGAGGTCCTGCTGGAAATATAGTTTGGTTAACTGGAAATCCAGGGAGCTGCGCATTTAAAGGTATTTAATCCTCAAGGTAACTTCTAGAGGGGCTCATACCCTGGCTGAAAGCTGAACTACGAAGTGTAGTTATGAGCTCGCAGTGGGAGAGCCCCACTTCGCAGCTGGGTATGTGTCCTATTGTATACTGAATTGTAGTTGTGACTTTACACCAGCTTAATGTTTTTCCTTTAAGATACTACTGCAAATGTATCTTTAAATGAAAAATAATTTTTTCAATACTCCTATTTTCTGCCTCAAACTCAGAATGAACCTTGTAAAATCTTGTGAGAGGGAGATTTGATCATTTCTTTGGAATAGATTTATTCTAATTACATAAATGTAAATTCGTTTCTGTGAATTATCCTCTTTCTCTACGGTGTTTGTGAAAATGTCGGGAACTTGACAGTACTCTGTTTTCATCAGCCTATTGAAAAGCTGACTTGTGTCCTTTTCTTAGGGAAACTGATGCTAAATAAACATGACCATGTTTTTATGTCCTTTGACTCAGAACAGTGTTAATGTCAAAGTTGGGTAGTCCCGTAGAATATCCTGCATTCTGTATGTGATCCACTGCTCCACACATGATAAACAGGACGCTGTTTTAAACATCAGATGGGTCAAGAATAGCATCATATTCTTAAGGTTTGCTTAATTTAGAGTCAGTATTGCTACTACTTAATCACTGTAAAGATAACTCCCATCTTCAGTTGACAAATGTATTAATATAAACTCTCTTGATAAAATGACACAAATATAAAAATAAGCATACTTATGTGATACAAATTAGCTTGACCTCTAATATTAAAATATCATGCTACTTTAAAGATATATTCACAGTCTATTACATGACAATTTTAGCCATATTTTACATGTGCTTTCATATAATAATCATGGATATATATGCATATATACATCCATATCCTTGTCATGTTTACGCTCAGAGCTGGACATTTATTTGTTAGTTGAGTTTGCATGCATAGGAATAAAAGACTGGAAATAAAGTGGAGACACTTAGAGAGATATAAGAACTGTTTTCAATGGCAAGGGCAAGACAGGCCCTAGTCTTTTAAGTGACTTTTAATATTTAATGCTGTTTTGTGGATGCCTTTAGAAAATAGTTAAGGTTATAACAATAGTTCATTATTATTTATTATTATGTGATCTATTCTACTTATAAAATTATTTGGGGACTATTTCTATGCAGACTAAGCAAGCACAGCTAGTTTCTCTCCTCGACATAAACTTAGGAACAACAACAGAAAGAGCAGTGCAGAAGTAGAACATAAATAATAAATTATCTTTCAGTAGTTCCAATCACAGCTGCTTCCCCAAATCAGCAGAATGAACCTACCCTCTTCTCCTGGTGCAAAAAAAGACTGAAACATTTTACACTGAACTTGGTCATCACTGCACTCCCCCACACTTCTGTTGCCCCAACCATGTACAACAACAGGACTTGACACTGTCTTTACTTTTGATTCTGTTGCCTCAGTCAAGCCACCTCGGTGACAGCTGAAAATGAGAAAACCTGGATATGGTCCAAATGGAGTGGAGACCGTGAAGCTCAAGGCAGTCGGGGCCTCGGCCAGAAGGAGTGTTCGTAACACCCTGCAAGCAGGTATGTAGTTACCAGAAAACTAACTGCAAATTCAAGAGCACACTCACCAACAAGGTGATGCCAAAATATAAATAAGGTAAGCATGTTCAGAACCTGGCTGCGGGTTTAGCAGAGATGTGTTACTGCCACTTAAGGAAGGCTGTTATCTGTAGCAGAGAAAGACGGGGAGCCTGCCAGTGGCTACAGCGTGTTTAATGAGTCCAGCCAGGTCTAGAACATTATTTGAAATGGGCCTTGCAAACACGGGAACCTGAGGAGTTAGCAGACAGAATCCTGGCCTCACACTAGGAAGAACACACAAAATGAGAGACTGACTATAGGCAAGACACAGATCTATCAGTAGTTCGAGAACTGGATTTCATCACTGGTAACAGAGTCTCAATGAGTCTTTTTGTTTAAAAAGTTTATTTGTATTATACACCGCTTTTATCTGGATTTTAATGAAAGCCAATACTCCTTTTGCTCCAACATAACATCAATTTCTTATAAACATCTGGAGTTAAGCTCACAAATGAAACTCACGTCAGCACCTTATACTGTGACATGAAACCAAATCTCCTGGTAAACAAGGGTCTTCAACAAACAACTACTACGGTTTGCTTGCCTTTATCGGTGATTAAAATTTCACTGATGAAATATCCATTAAATAGAAAAATCAATATCTAAACTTAGTCTCCTGCTTTGTTTTGATACCACAAATTATTTTGAAACCAATTAGCAAAAATAACTATTTTAAAAGTACAAGATATGAGCTTTGCTTTGTTATTCCAGCACCCAATAAAACAAAGGTAAGCTCGTATTTGGTCCCTTTCCCTAAATTCTCAATTAATCCACCTGGTAAGAATTAACGAAGGCAATGATTTTAAAAGTCATATGTTCAAGTCTAATTTCTTTGTTTCATCAGAAATAAGACCAAAGGCATTCTAATGTTAAAAACAAAAATAGTATTAGCTCTGATGAAGAGCCCAGTGCTCCGACCTGAGAGATGACTAGCCAAAGTCCCAGAAAAGAACTGTTACTTGTTCACTCTATTTCTCTTTTCTTTTTTTTCTCCAGTTAGCTGGGAGCAGGCAGAATTATGCCAGTTCAATCTGAGCATAACTGGATGGCAAATTTCTATTTTCAGATATAAACTGGTTCACCAAAACCATATTGAGCCTGGGCTCCATTTGGCAGAAAAGCTAACAAAGGCATGTGGCAACCCATATCTGCTCACTGTTATACTGTTACACAGGCACCCGGATACTCCAGAGCTTGCCCAGATGCTCAAAGCAACACCTTAGCTGGTGTGCCTAGTGGGACGAGCTTCTTTGGCCCTAGTCCTGGCTTTTTGCATTTGCATCTTTATAGATGATGGGAAGCTATAGATCCTTCTGTCTCTCACAAAGCTGTCCAATTCCGGCCACAACCTCAAATGGTTTTACTCATTTATTCGAGCAGATTTTTTCTTTAAGATCTAAATGAGAATGAGTCATCCCTTCGCAGCCCCCAGGGAATAATCCAAAAGATGGGAGGCTCCTAATAAAACAATTAATTGTGATAAATTTCTGGGTTTTACTCCTTCATCCAGGGCTATTTCCATGGCAACACCCTCTGCTCCTATTGTTGGGTTGTTCCGCATTCACACAGCAGGTTAAGCCCAGGGCAGCCAGGGCAGGCTGATGGTCAGCTTTTATTTTCTCTGGCCCTTCAACAAAGGTTAGTTGAGGTCACCAGAAGCCAAAGGGTAATTACTTTTCCTCCTCCGGGTTAAAGGTACACAGATTGCTATTGGGACAATCGTACAGATGACCTTCAGTTTTTAATGTTCAATCCTCTTTTTTTCATCAGATGCATAAGTACGACACAGCAAGCATGATACTTCCTCCATGCCTAAAATTCAGAGTAGAAAGTCAAATGTCTCTCGTGAACCTAACAGACATTAGCATAAAATGCACTTGCAATCAGTTTGGAAAAATCCAATGCATGAAGGTTTCCTATTTCTTGATAAATAGGAAAAAATCATGGCAAAAAGTTGCAGTAGGGTGCTTTGCTCCTCTGTTAGTCTGGTGTAAATCTCCCAGGGCTTCCTAATTCTCTGGGGCCCATGAAGGCTAAGAAAAGCAAGCTTTCCTCCTCCATCAGGACCGCTCTTCTTCCCCTTGAAATGTTCATCTTACCCCATAGCAGATTAAGAATGAGTCAGATTTAATGAGTGAGTTTTCTCTAGTCCCTTTCAATTCTTCAAGAAAACCAGTCTCAAAAATAATTGGGAGAGGGGTGTCTTCTCAAACTCAATTTTTAAAACACATTGCCCCTCTCATTTGAAGAGTCACTTTCAAATGAGAGTCTTATATTTTTAATCTGAAATTTCAGATAAATGATTTCCATAGATTCCAAAAATGGAGATAGCAACCAGATGCAACATGTGTGTCTTTTTTCAGTCACCTAGGAGAATATTTCCAGGTCCCCGGCCATGATAAGTTTGCTGCTGACTTATCTCAAAAGAGATATACAGAGGGAAGCCAGTGTCCCTTCTAGGAGAAAGGCTGGGGTCACTGAGAAAGGACTTTTCCCCAAAGTCTTAGTGAAAAGGAACCATCTAAGAAGTGCCCAGAGACAAGAAAGCAGGCCCTCCCTTCATCTACAGGAGAAACATTGCTTGGCCCATTCCCTCGGGTTCATCTGAGTGTGGCCTGATTTTTCTCCAGCAATCAGGCTTGACCTACTTCTCATCATATCTTCATACGAAGTTACCTCTCTGCTAAGAAATCTGCTAGACAACCTCTGGATGTGCCTCCCAAGGCTGCCGGACTAGACTGCTCTAACAGCCCCTGTCTGTCTTCCACGTGTGTCCCAGACTCCCTGTCTTGGCTACTCTGCCCTGCCGAACAGATTTCAAGAGCTCTCTGTGTGGCATTCCCCTCTCTTAGCTGATCCCAGTAAATAGCAATTCTTCCTTACAGTTCCTCCTTCACTTAGACATACAATTTAGTTCATTCAGAAATTTCTCCATGTTTTTTTCTGTTCTATGCTAGTTCTGAACCAACGTGATGAATGCCTTTTACTGGTACATATATTATCGTGAATATGTGCATATATTATCACGTACCTAATGGTATATCAGTGCAATTGATTTATTTAAAATCCATGAAATAGATATTTTAAAGAGACAGTACTTCAACTAGTCTCATTTTCAAAGTTGTTGACCTCTTACAAAAATGTTTTATATTAGAATTTCTTGCATAGTTGTCTTTTGTAGGAATCTTAGAAATCTCTCTTTTCTCATTTTATTGTCTCTTGTCCCTCCAACATTCCCATAAAGTCTTTATAGCTATCACTCTTGAAAGAAAAATATTTTGCATCATCATACCCTAAGCTCCCAAACTTCTCTTCTTCCTGTTGTCAGTGACCAACAAATACTAGGGCTGTCAATGGTACATAGAAAAGGAGACAACAAAAAGCTGATTACAGCCATAGCCAAAGCTACCTTTTCAGACGCTAGTCTTGAGTCTTCAAGACCAGTAAAGGATGTCGATGTGGGGTTGGTGGCAGTAGTTTTTAAAAAGGGAGATAAGATCTAAGGAGGCAAATGTCACCACCCAGTACATGATCTGGTTAAAAATTACCCACTGAGGGAGGAAAAAGAAAGACCTAGAACCACACATGACTACTTGGCAGCAGTGGCTGATTTGGAAAAGAAACAGCTCTTTACTCAATTACAGACTACATCCACAAGGAGCAGTGTGTTCCCTGCCCAGGTACCCTGAGCAGGGGTATTTGATGAAGGCACAGCTGTCCGCTCTGTTGCTGATGTAGGTAGTTATTTGGGGCATCAGAAAAAAGATGGGTTCAAGGAGAGTAAACTTTAAGAGAGGAATCTTCTCTTCTCTGCATATTTTCTAGCCTCTCTGAAGCCCTCTGACCTCCACTCCATCACCCCCATCTTACTCTGCAGAGTTGCACCTCATATTGAGGTTTTAAAGTCAATAGGCCAAATCTGCCCTCCATCAGTTAATGAAGATGCCTGGCTGATATATTTGCCCCCAAACTACGCATCTCCAACAACAGCATCTCAGGCATTTTGTGAAGGAGGTACTTAGAGCATTGCCTCCTTGGACTCTGTGAGATTGCCATTTCAACACACTCCAAACTAGCAACAAATCATTTAAAAAACCATGGTATGTTTTAAGTTAAAACTTTAGACCATGAAACAGGTCACATTTTCATATTTTACTCATTTCAAAGCAAAATAAGCATTTTTGCTTTAGGCAAGAAATGCAGACACTTGCCCCGAACTGATTCTTGCTAGTTCTGAGAGTTCTGCTTTCTCTTACATGACTGAGTTGCTGGGTGTCCGTCTACAGTCAACCTTCCCCATGCTACATTTTCATCTATAGTTGAGCTTCCTCTTTCCCATTTTGTAGAATGTGTGTTCCCAAAAGGTCTGACACAGAGGGATTTTGCACAGTTGGTTTTCTTTTTCTAGGCCAGAAATAGCTGCGACCTGTCATTGCTCAGATTGCCATGGACACACGTGGAATGTGAAGTTGTTGCTTCCTGTGGGCTGTCCTCGAACTTCTCCAGGAGCTGTTGCGTGCTTCCAGACACTGATAGTGAAGTGGCCTGGTTAGGGCACCAGGCTCTGGTGCCGAATGAGTGTTGGGTGTTCAGTGCCTAGTGTCTCAGGCTGAGGTGATGTCCTCAGGTCTGGAGCACTATCAGGTTTAAACTGAGCCAGACTTGGGAAGAAAGTCAGTGGCCAGCATGTGGAGCTTTTAACAAAGGTACCAGATAGAGACTTCCAACTTCAACTCAGAGGTGCTGGTTCAGTAGCTCCCTGAATCTGTTTCTCACAGTTGTTTAGGTGTTGGCGCAGTGCCTTGGCTACACAACACACTTACAGTATAGGGGCAGTGAGTTTCATAGTTGAGGATTTTATTCGTACCTCCAAAATGTCCCTTTGCTAAATGTTTTTTTGCCTTTTCAGAAACTTCCGTGCTTTCTGGACACCAGTCTGTCTTTCTTCTGGTGTTTTACCTCGTATTGACATAGAACTTTGATTTGTTTGAGTCCTGTGGATTTCAGTCACAGAGGCTTCCTGTTTACTCAGCCACAAGGCGACTCCGTTTCCCTGAACTTGTCTTGCACATCACCAATCCTCCATAGTCAAAGAAGCAGTTTCCACAATCTCCAAGGCCATTTCTGCACCAATCATTACCTGACCTTCTGACTTCTTTGATCTTAAATAAGCTAAGAGATCGCTAAAACACCATATAAGGAGACTTTATTTCTTTCATGGAAATCTTGTACTATTAGAAGACAATGCATTTAGTACAATGGTGAAGTACACAGGGCCCAGGGACAGACAGACTGAAGGACTAGACTCAGGTGTCATCTTTGCCTCTTAATAGTTATGACTCTATCAGGTTCCCTTGCTGCAACGTGGGAATAATAAGAAAACAATAATGCATAGACACACACACACATACAGAGGGTTACACACACACTCACACATATACACAGAGACACACACACACAGAATTCACACACACACACACACACACACACACACGCACGCACGCACGCATACCATCACTGGGCTTTTAGACAATGTAGCAGATACAGCACACATGAAGAGTACATCACAGTGCCCGAACCACAGTGAGATAAACAGTGGCTATTAATTGTACGGAACCCACATTGTGGACAGTCAGCACAGGCTGGAACTCAAGCCTGATAGCTTCCTTTGAGTTGCTTTTGGGAAAATTACTCTATCCCCGAGTCTGAGTTTCTTCATTTCTAAATGGAAATTCACAAGACATGTAGGGTAGCTATGAAGTCTAGAAAAGATAAATAATTTCCTACCATTATGCCTGAAGACATTGCTGTCTAGTTTTGTCCTTTCTGTCTGTGATAATATAGATAACACTATATTTGTTCCAACCTAGAATTCTGCAAGGGACATTTGGGAGATGTTGTTAGAGAAATACCAAGTATTATCTCCTCTCTGCTGATGACCATGTCAAAGGAGGACAAGCATCAGTTTGAAATTTCTCTGAGGAAAGCAACATGGATTGGCTATAATTACATGCCTTAGCTCATGAAGACATTGCTATGTATGAGTCAGTAGAGTAAGATTTCCTATCAGCATATCATGCAGTAATTAAAATGGGACTTTGAACTCAGTCATGTGCAAGGATGAAGATGAAGGCCTGGGATGGGAAGAGTAGCAGGTGAGCCCACATTTTATACGTGGATTGGAAATGCATCATCTTTCTGTCAGGTCAGCAGACTTGAAAAGCTTCGATTTGTGGCTGTCACTATATTTCCTGCTTCTGTGCATGCAGCTCTGGCCCTGCTCGGACAGAAGTCCTGACGTAGTACAAACCCAGCACTCCACACAAGACGCTCTTCTGCCTTCCCCCAAGATGGGCGGGAGTGAAAGTCCTGCCTTTAATTGGAATTCCAGACTCAGGAGTTTCTTGAGGACCCTCTTACAGATTTGAGTTTCTGGGCAAAGTGGCACATTCCACAGCTTCTCACTCAGGCATGTCCGAACAAGCCATTTCCACAGATGCTTCCTTGGCTTTGGGTGATCACAGACTGGTCATGTGTTAGGTCAAAAGTTTGTTTTCCCCTGTAAAGAGGTTTTGGTTTTAGAGATTTAAGTGTTGTTCTTTTTCAAACTATTATTTCCTAACAGTCACTTCACTCAAGAAAAGACATTTGATAATTTTGATCGTTAAGATATGGAAACACAAATCAGAGGGGAGAAAGCTTCCCGTGTCCTCATATGTGAATGCACCGTTCTAGTACACTTATGAGTAAATGCACACAGGTATGCACAGATGGACTTACATGCATGAACATACACACACACCACACACACACACAAACACAGAGGGGGGGAGAGACAGAGAGAGAGATAGAGAATAATCTCATGTTACCATTAAAGGGCACGATGTTACCATGGGAAGCCAGGTACCCACAAAGGTACCTGCTGGCCCCATTCTCTTACAGATGACATCTCTGCACCTTCAAGCACCTCCATTACATCCCTGATACAGCTGAACAAGCCTCTTTCAGGTCTTAAATCTTCTGGCTAATTGCTTTCCTTAGCCTCTTCCAGGTTAGAAGGCAAAAGCCCTCACTGGACTCTCTTGCCAGGGTGTTCAGTGTTCGCACATCCTGTCTGAGGCTGACTTCCCTGTCCCTTCCAGGATCCTAGATACAGGCTGCTTCATGGTGCCCCTTGCTGTTACATGGATTCCCAACTCCCTACCTCTCTTGTGTTAGCTCACTTCAGCTGACTGAAATTGGCAGGTAGATACTCATGCAACCAACAAGGCTGCATCAACGGAATTTTCTTCAGCATTACAAGCTGAACTCTCTTTGCTCTGTCAACGAGTGACCCTTACTGAGTTCCTCTGAGTTGTTGTGGTGGATGCATGGAATACAAGCACATAAAGTCTACTCTTGAGGCAGTGGTCTACAATTTATTTCTTCCTGGAGGCCTGGAGAACCTCCTGTAATTTTCACAGTGTGCCAGAGACGCAAACCTGTAGGTGAGATTGATGTAAGTGCCGCAGGCAGATGCTAAAAAGCAACCACAAAATATGGAGTGAGTGCAGGATGAAGGGCTCCCAGGGATCGATGCAAATTGTAGTCTGCATGCAAGGGCATGTTTTACACAGGTCCTCCTGAGGTTTTTCCATCTTCCTGCATAAATGTGACTTTTCCTCCCTTGAAGATGCTTGGCAAAAAAAAAAAAAAAAAAAAGTGTCCATCATCTTTCAATTAAAACTTTTCAACAACAGTAAAAATAAACAGAAAGCAAAGAGGAGTGGGAAGATAGCTACCGGAGAGGGCCAGCAGATAACTTCCTGCCTGACCCTGCCACTAAGTGAATAATTCCTGGAGGAAATTAGCTCACCCCTGCAGTGCATGTGGTACCCAACGCAGTTGTTCTCGGTGTTTGCATCAGTCCTCTTAATCGTTACCACCCTACGAAATATCAAGCATTTTAGCTCATTTTTATAGAAAAGAGACATGGGACAGTAAAACAGATTTGTTCTAAGCTCTCTAACAAGCAAACAGCAAAAAATTAAAATCCACCCATCCATTCTCTTCCCAGCAACCCCCCCTCTCGATTACTAAGATGGGCCATCTTCCAGGAGCAGAGATTTAGATGGTTTTAAAGACCTCCTCAATGTTTGTTTTATTCAGATCTGGAAGCGTAAAATGACTGCTAAGGGCTCATATCACATATACTTTAGACCAGCTAAGTGATCAAGACTGCATTATCCTGAGACTGAAAACAGGCATTCTCAGAGTCCTCACAGGTACTTCAGATACCAGTTGCACCACGGCAATAGAAGGAAACAGTAGCATCCACTAGATAGCAGCACCGGGTGGGGGCAGGACCTGGTAGTGTCCCAATAAACGCTGAAGATATGTGTTATTCTCCAAGACCAAGGCCACAGGATGTGTTCTCACCTACCCAAACCTAATTTCATGTCCTCTAGGATGTTTTCTTATATTCAGCAGGAGCCACCAAATCCTTAGCAATGACAGAGTAGATCCCTTTGACACTCTTCCTTCAAGACCCTCTTGTTGATGTCTGGCTGCTGTCAAGGGGGTAGCTGCCCTTTGAGAAGGGTGCATTGAGCCCCAACTCAAGCCAACTAAAGAGCAGTCTCATCTCAGAGCCTCAGCGATCATCTCCTCCCCATTTCCCTGCCCTAACAAAGAGCAGAACTAGTGCCTCAAATGCCACCTGCCATGCCCTAGTCTAAGAAGCAGCTGCTCCTTCCCTTGGGATGGCTGGTTCGTTCCCAATGCATGCCCTGTGCCCACCCTTCCCTCCTTCTGGAACAGGCCCTTCTGTCTCTGCCACCATCTCCTCCAGGATGGTGTTCCTTCTAATCAGACATGATCTGCTGTTTGTTGGTGCTCCACAGGGCTTTCCAGTGCCTTCCTCGCAGCAGCTTATGCTCTTAGTGCTGTTTCTTCCCTCAATCAGTGGAAGGACACAAGCCTTCAAAGTACAGAACAAAAGAAGGAATTCTTGGACTTTTTAATTCTCTTTCTCAGATTGTTTGGTTGTGGAAGAATGTTTTTGGTTTTTGCTGTTGATTTGTTTTGTTTTTATTGCAGCACTGTTTGGCCAATGACTCAGGCATATTCCTAGCTAACTCTTATATCTTAAATGAACCCATTTCTATTAATCTATGTATCTTCATGAGGTTGTGGCTTACCAGTAATATTCTGGCATCTTTCTCCTTTGGCAGCTACATGGTGCCTGCCTGACTCTGCCTTCTCTCTCCCTGCATTCAGTTTAGGTTTCCTGCCTAACTACATTCTGCCCTGCCATAGGCCAAAGCAGCTTCTTTATTAACCAATGGTAATAAAACATATGCAGCATACAGAGGGGAATTCCACATCAAGTAGAGATACAAAAACAAGGTCCAGATGTCAGGGTGGTTTCAAGGTCAAAGAGGCTGGTTAAGTGACCCCATCCCATGTCTGACTCCATTCATTCTCTGTTCCTATTCTAACACCATTAACCCTTTGCTGTGTTGCAAGCTCCGTCCATCACACCTTTTCTCGATACCTCAGTGGCTCCCACCACTCTCAGCAGCCCTCTCAGCTGTCTCTAAGGTCTTCCAGTTTTCTGAATCTAACATGCATCATAAAAAAACAAATATGGGATTCAAAAGATTCCCTAAAAGAGGATTCATCAACCCCGAGGGATTTCTCTCAGTCATCGTCTGCCCTTCAGTCCTGGACTCCTCTCAGGATCTGGGTTGGCTACACTCACTTCTAGACTTCCCTGATGCTGAGCAGTGTGACATGAGTTACTTAGACTCTCTGTGACTCCAAAGGTGCCTGGACAATTAAATGTGATCAATGCTTTCTAAAGTATTGCTTGATTGTTCTCACCACCACAGAGTGTTAGTACAATCATTGAAGTTTGTTGGTGTAACATCACTGCTGCAGGCCCTAAGGGAGCCCGGCTGCACCTATGCTCCTGATGCTGC